TCCCCGGCTCTGCAAACAGCACCCAAGCGTGCCCTCTGCCAGCTGCATTTTCATCATTTCATCTTCCTTTCTTCCACAGCAGAGAGATGATACATCAGAACCCAAGGGAACAAAGGGTGGAGGGTCATAGTTTCAGTGGGTCAGATTTTCAACCCATGAGTGGCATGTGGACTCACACCACAGTGCACGAGTCTGGTAGTCTGACCTTGTTTCTTTCAGGCCCTAAACCCAAAGGCCAGAGCCACTCGCCTTGTGTGTGCCAACTGCTGGATGAGGTCACCGCCTCCTTGGGAGCAACCAGAGAGCGAGGCGGGATTGCTTCCTGACCTCTCACGGGTCTTAGTCCCCCAGGGCACCCTCCATTCTGCCGGGTACATGAGCCAGTCTCATCTGTAGCACAATGTATATTGCACATTATGGAACCATAATGTGATGAAAAAAACACTCTTCAGAATGATTCAACCAAAAGATTCCATTCAAAATGCAAGACTGTTATCCCAGGTGCCCCTAATACTGTATTTTGCATTTGTTTATCATTCCTTTAGGCCATTCCTGACCGGTGATTTTTAGCCTAGGTATGTCTGCTTCCCTGAGAGCAGTGGAACACAGCTCCATTAATACCAGTGAGCTGGGACTGGCTTGCTATTTCTCATCACTTCATTCCACTGTAACCTGATGATCATTACCTTTTTTTTTTTAATTTTTTTTTTATTTTTGCTGTGTTGGGTCTTCGTTTCTGTGCAAGGGCTTTCTCTAGTTGTGGCAAGCGGGGGCCACTCTTCATCGCCGTGCGTGGGCCTCTCACTATAGCGGCCTCTCTTGCTGCAGAGCACAGACTCCAGACGCGCAGGCTCAGTAGTTGTGGCTCACGGGCCTAGTTGCTCCGTGGCATGTGGGATCCTCCCAGACCAGGGCTCGAACCCGTGTCCCCTGCATCGGCAGGCAGATTCTCAACCACTGCACCACCAGGGAAGCCCCGATCATTACCTTCTTAAATAACATTGTTATGGGTCATTAGTTTTGTGGGTGATTCTCCATCTCCTACCCCCTCTTATTTTTCCCATTATCAGAGCCTTACTTGTTACAAACAGAAAGTAAATAACCATGCAGGCTTGTGGACCCAGTTTCATAAACATGCAGGTTCACGCCGGTACCTGGATATTTGCTTTCTGAGTACGTGAGCTTAACTGATTCCTCAAAATGGAAAGACAGTGCAAGCTACTCAAGATGGAGGCTAAACCAATATTTAGAAAGCCACTGCCTATTTTAACACTGGCCTGCATGTGTGATGGGCACCCACTTTCTGTTTTGTGTATTTGGAGCTATTGCAACTGGGCTGAAATGCACCAGAGATGGGTTCCTGGAAGGGACAGTAGTGGCAGTTCAGAAGGTACCCATTGTATCAAAGCAAACCTTGACCCCGATCGGACCCAGTGGGGGGCAATTCAGTACACTCCAGGTGTCCTGCTTACAAGTCCCTGCTTCAAGGGATCCCACAGACTTCAGCAGTCTCCTCTTCTCCTGAACTGGTCAGGATTTCTTAGTTGACAACTGATCGTGTCATCTTGCCTTTCCATTGTTGATTTACGTGGTTCCTGAAAATTAACTTATTGTTCTTATCTCCTCTTCAAAGCTAAATTGTAGGTTTCTTGAGCACAAGGCTGAGTCTTGTACTTAACCATTTTCCATAGCACTTAGGTTGAAATCCCAACTCTCTACTTACTAGCTCTAGGACCTTGGATGCACTCCTTCACCTCCTTGCTTCTCAGTTTCCTTGTCTACAAAATAGCGGCGATCGTGCCTGCCTTCCAGTGCGTTAGGAGAACCAGCTAGCACGGTGCTGGGCGCTAGCAGGAGCTTGGTGAATAGTAACTGACTCTCTAGACAAAGCCCTGCGCGAAGAAGCTGAGCAAAATTTAGCAGAATTAAATATGATGAAGCATGGTTTAAACTCGCAGGAGGGAAGAGCTAATTATGGACTCTTGAAATTCCATGGTGAGGACACCGTTTTCTCTGACCTGGGATTGAATGACATTTTACGACCCTGTTTTTATTCATGACTTGTTCATGACCATGTGACGATCATTTCAAGCTCATCATGTCTCCTGAGCCCCCAAAGGATCAATGAACTGATTTGGGATGTGGGGACTGTGCTTATTGGCATCCTTGGACCCACTCATACATTTAAGTATTAGCTTGGCCCTGAGTGGAGAAGCTTTCTGCAGCTCCTTGCTGCCATGAGGCAAGTGGTGATGCCCAGGACTGCTCTAGTGATCCTCAAGAGTGTCCCTTAGCTTCTTTAGCAATTTTCTTTAAAAGCAGCCATAGCGGGGGATAGTGGTGCAGCTTACTGAGACCGCATCAAAATAAAAAAGAAATGGGGATGAGAGTATGAGGAGGACTGTATAAAAAAAAAAACATAAATAGCATCAAGATGAGTTTCCCCGATTTCCCGTATAATGAGTGCATCTGCCAAAACTCAAGATGTGAGGCTTCCCTGGTGGCGCAGTGGTTGAGAGTCCGCCTGCCGATGCGGGGGACGCGGGTTCGTGCCCCGGTCCGGGAAGATCCCACATGCCGCGGAGCGGCTGGGCCCGTGAGCCATGGCCGCTGAGCCTGCGCGTCCGGAGCCTGTGCTCCTCAACAGGAGAGGCCACAACAGTGAGAGGCCCGCGTACCGCAAAAAAACAAAAAAACAACAACAAAAACTCAAGATGTGTATTATCCACTCTACAATTGGCAGATTGCCTAGGAGCGGAGCAGAAGATGCTTACTGATGGAGGGGTCAGCCCTGCCTTGATTCTGCCATTTTCTCTTTGTGGTGGAGCCATGCTACAATGAAGAAATGGGTCCTGTGACATTGTCATCAACCTTCTTTGGTTACTTATCGATATGCACTTCCTTACCTTACACTCCCTTTTATAGGTTCCTGGGAGAAAAGTACATTAAAAAGACAGTTGCTGAATCTATTGCCATGTCAGCTTAGGTAGAACGAAAGTGTAGGTCAGGTGAACTCCCTTTCAATATAGGTGCTAGGGGACGTGACAAATAGGCACCCCTGCCTGCCATTGATTAATTGGTGTAGTTTGTTGGTTTACACAGTGCCTTGCTCCAAAAGTAATTTGAGACAGCACTCACCGAGCAGAGTGTGTTGTCACCTTCTGGACACTACAGTTGTATGTCAGGGACACAGTTAGACTTCAGACATATTCAGTAATATACAAGCTTTTATCAGATGTTTAGAGACCCTCCTTAGGTGCAGGGTTACAAAGAGAAGTGAAACAATCCCTCATCTGAAGAAGCTTTGCTGTCTACTGGCAGAAACTGACACAATTAAGTACAATAAAAGGGATGGCAATGATTGCCCTTGTAGAACTACAATGTGGGGTCTTGCAGTCATGGGTTTTTGTTGTGGTTTTTCTTTTTTAAACCAAACATCTCAGGACTCAGTATCTGATGGAGAATTTTTTTTTTGAATTGTATTTAAAGTACTTCAAAGATATTAACAATTAAAATTCCATTCAGCTATGTATCTAAGAAATTTCCCTTACTAGGCATTCCCTTAGAATGCAGTGATATAAAATGAGCACTGCCCTTGGGGAAGGCATATGGGGGCTGAGAGGATGGTGTCATTCGCTCTCTAAGTAGTTTGCAGAGGGCTCCCAGAAGAGTTGATGTCTGCGCTGAATCTTGAACAGCAGATATAGGTCCTCACAAGAGTTTGGGCTCTGCGTGCTGTCCTGAATTCCATCCACGTGGCAGTCAGCTCCAAAGCCTGCGGGTTCGTCTCGCTCTGCACTTATTCCCCTAGCAGATATTTTTTAGTCACTGCTACTGTAGCTTCCAGCAAGGACCCCATGACCTCTTCTTTCATTTGTTTTGTACACATGATTCATGGACCTGCCTCCCCTCCCTTCCTTATAGGGTCAGCAGTGCTTGCAAGAACGTAGAGGATGCGTGGGTTTTGTGTATAGGGTAAGGAAGCCTGCCCTGAACACCGGCAAGTTTAATCCATTTTCATTCGAAAGAACAACTGGCCTTGGGCAACATATTTCTAATGGTCTAAGTCATTCAGCGTGTGTGTGCGTGCAGGCATGCGCGTGTACACAAGCTGTGCATAAATAGCACGTTTCCAGTCTGTGGAAAATGTGTAATGGACAAGCGGCACATGACAGTAGGCTCAGCCCCTGAAGATTTACCAGGAAAGAAGACAGCTGCGTGGCAAAGCTGCTGCTTATAATTAGGGAAGGAGTTGCCCATGTCCTGTGCCGTTCAACAACTTCAGCCATTTAAATGACAGCCGGCTTGTTTAGCTCTAACCACCCTCCACCCTTTTTAGGGGCCAGGAGTTAATTTCTTTTTGAGAACGCTGCTTTGGACTGTCATCTCTAGTATCATTGTAAGATGGGATATGACGTGATGACCGGAACATCTCAACTAGCAACCATGATGAATGAGCAAAAAACAGGAGTTGCTTTCAACGTCTCTTTTTAACTTTGTGAGGGAAAAACTATTTTCAAAACCCCGTGGACTTTCCGGTTTCTAACAGGGCCATATTGCTAGTTCTGCAGTTGACGAGAAAACTATAATGCTTTCTTTGGCTCGAGTGAGCTGTGAGAAGTATCACAGCACTCCTGACGTACAGTGGCTCTCAACAGGACGGATGGGGAGGGAAATTAATAGGCTTCCCATTGTTACCGTGCATTTTTGCCAGGATATTTCATTAGTGTAAACACTGAACCCACTGTCATCTTGTTTAGCCACTTGACCCTGATGATTTTCAATTCTGTGTGTCGTGATGAGTAGAGCACTGGCATGCACGAGACAGGCCCTAATTACTGGAAGCAGAATCACTGCTGACCCAGGACGAGATTAATTGCTCCTTTGCAGTCTTTATCCTGGGACATTAGCGCTGTCTGGTTATCTTGCTTCAGCTGAGGGATTCGGGACAATAGCAGTGCTGATGGTAACGGTCGGCAATTCCCCTGTTTGTTTTGCAGGTCACGGCCAGGGGGTTTGGGCCGCTGTTGCAGTTCGCCTACACCGCCAAGCTGTTACTCAGCAGAGAAAACATCCGCGAGGTCATCCGCTGTGCCGAGTTCCTGCGCATGCACAACCTGGAGGACTCCTGCTTCAGCTTCCTGCAGACCCAGCTCCTGAACAGCGAGGATGGCCTGTTTGTGTGCCGAAAGGACGGTGCGTGCCAGCGCCCGCACGAGGACCGCGAGAACAGCGCCGGAGAGGAAGAGGAGGAGGAGACGATGGATTCGGATACGGCCAAGATGGCTTGTCCCAGGGACCAGATGCTTCCAGACCCCATCAGCCTTGAGGCCACTGCCATCCCAGTAGCAGAGAAGGAAGAAGTTTTGCTGCCGGAGTCCGACGTGCCCGCGGACACCAAGGAGAGCGCGGCAAAGGACGCATTAACGCAGTACCCCAGATACAAGAAATACCAGCTTGCATGTACCAAGAATGTCTATAACGCATCATCACACAGTACCTCAGGTTTTGCAAGCACATTCGGTGAAGAGAACTCTGGCAACAGCCTCAAGCCGGGGCTTGCCATGGGGCAGATTAAAAGCGAGCCGCCCAGCGAAGAGAACGAAGAAGAGAGCATCACGCTCTGCCTGTCTGGAGATGAGCCTGACGTCAGAGACAGAGCCGGGGACGTGGAAATGGACCGGAAACAGCCCCGCCCCGCCCCCGCGCCCGCCCCCGCCCCCCCTGCCGGGGCCGCCTGCCTGGAGAGGTCCAGGGGCGCGTCCTCCCCCTCCTGCTTAAGGTCTCTGTTCAGCCTAACAAAAAGTGTGGAGTTGTCCGGCCTACCCGGTACCTCTCAGCAGCACTTTGCCAGGAGTTCCGCGTGCCCTTTTGACAAGGGGATCACTCAGGGTGACCTTAAAAGTGACTACGCCCCTTTCCCGGGGAATTACGGACAGCCCCACATGGGCCAGAAGGACGCGTCCAGCTTCACAGTGGGGTCGCCCCTCAAGGGGCCTGGGTTGGAGGCGCTCTGTAAACAGGAAGGAGAGCTGGACCGGAGAAGTGTGATCTTCTCCTCCAGCGCTTGTGACCAAGTGAGCACCGCGGCGCACTCGTACTCTGGGGTAAGCGGTTTGGACAAAGACCTCTCCGAGCCGGTGCCAAAGGGCCTGTGGGTGGGCACTGGCCAGTCCCTCCCCAGCTCACAGGCCTACCCTCACGGTGGGCTGATGGCTGAACACTTGCCAGGAAGGATGCGGCCCAACACCAGCTGCCCGGTGCCAATCAAAGTCTGCCCTCGCTCGCCCCCGTTGGAGGCCAGGACTCGGACTTCGAGTTCGTGTTCCTCCTACTCGTACGCCGAGGACGGGAGCGGGGGCTCGCCCTGCAGCCTGCCTCTCTGCGAGTTCTCCTCCTCGCCCTGTTCCCAGGGAGCCAGATTCCTGGCCACAGAACATCAGGAACCAGGCCTGATGGGAGATGGAATGTACAACCAAGTCCGACCCCAGATTAAATGTGAGCAGTCTTACGGCACCAACTCCAGCGACGAATCCGGATCGTTCTCGGAAGCAGACAGTGAGTCGTGTCCTGTGCAGGACAGGGGCCAGGAGGTAGGGAACCCGACTAAATTCAAGCATGTGATCCACCCTCAGTCCTTTATCTGGACTCTCCCTGCCCCCCACCACTGCCAGATTGTTCTTGTTTGTCAAGAGTAAAGGTTACAGTAAAGGGACTGTCTCCCTCATCCGCTGAGGCAGGAGGCTTCCAGGCGATTCCAAATTAACCACTTTGTCCTAGAAAGCACTTGAAATTTGATCGAGATTTCAGTACTCAACAAGCAGAGGCAAAGTGCTTAGTGAAAACAGTCAGTCTAATGCCTGAAAGCGTGTGCAGGCGCTTCCGATCCCCGCCCCCCTCCCCTTCCCGTCCGTCTGCTTTGAAAGGATGCCATACCCCTCACCCTCATCCTTGCCCCTGGCCTCTTCAATGTGAAGGAAAATATAGAATCGCTTTCAAAACTGACTGGTTGAAACTAGAGAGATCCACACTAAACGGGTGCTTTCCCAGCACCTTTAAGTTTCCTTGTCAGATGGGACTCTGGAGCCATCCCTTGTCCATTCATTTCAATGCAGGTGATGGACAGCCCATCATCTGTCCCAGTCCCAGTGTCACTGAAGAAGCACCCTTGTCAGTCACTCATAACTGTATAATGTGTCATTTCCCAAGCTCCCCACAAATGGTGAGAGTCATTTTTAGGAACAGTGGGGTTGAGTAGCGGTTTCTGTCCACCCTGAAAGCAAAGTACTTTCTAGATGAAAATTCCCAAAGGCTCCATCTACGTCTTCCCAATGCTGGGAGAGGAAGCAGGAGCAACGCCAGCCACATCGTGAGGAAGACTCACGTGGCCAAGGAGAGAAAGAATAGACGCCCTCAGATGTCCCCCCTTCCCCTGTAACATGAGAGGCCCCCGGAAAGATCTGAGGGTGTCTGTGTCATGATCTGGCATAGTCTTGCTGATCGACAAGGAACCAACCTGAGACTGCCACCTGTGTCTCAGACCTGCCTCCGGAGCAGGACAGAGCGAGCCCGGTGAGAAGTCCCTCCCGAGGGCTGCTTCTCCGAAAAACACAGGAGGAAATGAAGCGTGGCCCTCATCGTGCCAGTGCCCTCCACCCGCGTCTGCACTCTCTGGTTATTAGCCTCTAGTGAAGCAGGGATGTTAACCCAACCAGACAGCAGAAATGCCACCCAGGGTGAGGTGGGTTTTCACAGAGCCACGTGCGGTTTATTCAGCCTCTGCGAGGTTGGCGAGAAGCACATGAAGATTTTAGCTCGGGCATGTTTTGAAAATAGATTCCAAAACTTCCTGTGCCAACTACAGAAGTGCCCTGTGGTCACTTCCTCGTTTTCTGGCTAGCCCGGTCCCTGCTCTTCTGTTACTGCCTGGCAAAGATGGAAAAAGAAACATACTGAAAGGATTTAATTTAGCTAAAAGTCATTAAAAAGGAAATTTGAATGGGAAACTATTGCTATTTGAATACACTGTATCCCCTCAGGTTTGGGATGGAGGGTTGGGCTCAGTGCCCCGAGCCAGACTCACATCTGTGTCGTCACATCTGTGTCCTTGACCTGAGAGGATTGAGGTTTCGTGAGAACAGTGAAAGGCTGTGCGTTCTCTTTCCTCACTCATTTCTTTCTGTCTGATCACAACATTTAGGAGGTTTTCTTTTTTCCCTGAAATTACTCATAGGCACCCCTGATGCAGAAGCCCAGTCGCTGGGTCCATCGGCATAACGATTTCCCTTGCCAAGGATGTCTCCAGAAAAGGACAAATGCCTTTGAGTCTTTGTTTTCTTTATATCTCTCCCTTAAGAGGAGCCTCACCATTAACTAAAGGGAGTGTGCGTTTATGACATTTGCATATGTTTAAGGACCTGTCAGTTTCAGATAAATCTCCTTTTGTCTCTCTAATGTCCCCAAAGAGAACTTAAAGTCACTTCTTGGAACTAAATGCTGCCAACAAGAGTACATGTGTCTTTCCTGTGTTTGGGCCTTATCACTTGTCTACCTTAGACCTTTTCAGTTTTAAATGAATTGATGAAAAGGAAAAATCGGGGCTTTCTTGGCGGTCCAGTGCAGGGGGCTCAGGTTCGATCCCTGGTTGGGGTGGGCGGGGAGGGAAAAAAAAGAACAGGAAGAACCATTCAACCTATAAAATAGTCATGAACAGGACTAGTCTCCCCTCAAAAAATACCGCTGTTTTCAAAAATATTTTTATTTTCACTTTTAAAAAATAGATCTGTTCTTTGCATTTCTAAACAGTCTCGAAAGAAGAGACATTTTCCAAATTTCTGTGTCATTTCGGGAATCACATTTAGCCCCTCTTGGTAGTACATTTTGGGTAGGATTGTTATAGTGAAGCTAAGATTTTTTCCCAACTTGACCTTTTAGTTTTCCTAAAGTAGAGATTAGGTTTTGCAAGAACTGTCTCAGGGACTTAGCATGACTGTTCCTCTTTGAGTTAATACTTTGCTTTGGGGAGTTTCTTTGACCCAGTGGAAGTGTGGTCTCCAGTAATAACACTGAAGGCAAACCCTTCACAAAGTGAATCATAACTGATCCAGAAGCCAACATCTCCTGGGCTGATTCTTCCCCGATCTGCTCTTGTGTAAGGTTCCAGGTGACTTCTCTTCCAAGTGAACCCCAAAGAGATGCCAGAGCCAGAAACCAAAAAAAGGAGTTTCCAGGGGACTTCCCTGGCGGTCCAGTGGTTAAGATTCTGCGCTTCCACTGCAGGGGGCTTGGGTTCGATCCCTGGTCAGGGAACTAAGATCCCGCATGCCGTGCGGCATGGCCAAAAAATAAATAAAATTCAAAAAAGAAGAGTTTCCACCTCCAGCCAGCCACCTGTTCAGTACTTCAGACTGATGGGTCCTGCCTTCCTCCCAGTCTCTCTTCCTCTGTAAAGACCCAAAATGTTAGATCAAAAGAAAAGTGTTAACCTACCTTATATTCTGATTTCTAGTTACACCCTCTTAACTCTCCTATCTCGCCAGCATTGACTTCTCATCCTAACTATTCCCCAGCTTTGAGGAAAGTTTAAATAAGCACAATATTGTCCTTTATCAACAATCAGCTTTTTTAAGTTCCTTTTTAAAAATAATCAATCACAGCATACCCAGCCCCTAACATACCAAATTTAGCAGGCTTTCTCTGTGCCTACAGCAATCTACAAACACACATTTGCATCTCCAGGGGTTTGGGTTTTATTTTAATACCAGTTGCCATGTAATTACTAAGCAACTTGCTTTTTGCACATAGCTGTCTACTGTGTACGTGCCTCTAGGTCAATTGTGTAAGGGTTGACACATGCTTCTTTAATATCCCTGGTTCCCATAAATCACAATTGACTCATAAATCACCTATCAACAGATATTCCGGTTTCCAGTTTTTTCCCTCTTACAAACATTGGTGCAATAAACATTCTTGTGAACATGTTTAGTGGTGGTGCTTTTATTTTTGTGGGTTAGAGTCCCATAAATGGGTTAAAGGTTATACTCATTTGTTAAATACTACCTACCTACTTTCCCAAAAGGTTGTAGCAATTCACATATCCTTCAGCAACTTGTGAGTGTCCATTGCCCCCTGTTCTTGCCAGTAGGAATGGTCACCAGTCCTTCTGGTTTTTGCCAATCTGATGGGCAAAACATGACTTCTCGTGAAGTTGATAACTTTCTTGTGTGTATTCGCCATTTTGTATTTCCTTTCCTGGACTTGCCATCTGTCCACTTTTTGGGTATGTTGTTTGACTTTAGTCAATTTACAGGATCCTTAATCCTTAATATAGGAATATTAATCCTTTCTTATATTAATCCTATATCTTCTCCTTGTCTACTTTTTATAGTGTCTTTTTCCATTTAAAAAAAATTTAAGTTTTATGTAATCAAATTATCAATCTTTTTCTTTATGACTTCTGGGTTTGCTGTTTTACTTAAAAAGTCAACTTGGGAATTTTTATTTATTTATTTATTTTTGGCTGCACAGCACGGCATGCGGGATCTTAGTTGCCCAACCAGGGATCAAACCCGTGCCCTCTGCAGTGGAAGCATGAAGTCCTAACCACTAGACCACCAGGGAAGTCCCCAACTTGGGAATTTTTTTCTTCCAATGATGAAAAAATGGACAGGTCATATTAAGTGAAAAAGGTAACATAAACAGTATATATAACAAGGTCCCAGTTTACTTTATAAAGAAACATAAATAATATAGTATAGAGAATAAGATAAAATGGGAGGCAAAGTTGGCAAGAGGGAATACAGGGAAAGGTTAATTTCTATGTATTTCTGTAATGTTTGAATTCTGTATTCAAACAGATTCTTTACTCTGTATTCTTTATTCTCACACAGATTCTTAATTGAGATATAATTCATATACCATAAAATTCACTCTGTTAAAATGAACAGTTCAGTGGTTTTCAGTGATTCACAAAGTTGTATGACCATCACCAGTGTCTAATCCCAGAATATTTTCATAACCCCCCCAAAAAACATAATATCCAGCAGCAATCACTTCTCATTGCCCTCTTCCCTTACCCCATGACGTTACTAAACCATCTTCTGTCTCTATAGATTGCCTAGTCTAGACACTTCATTTCAAAGGAATCTTACAGTATGTGGCCATTTGTGTGTGGCTTCTTTCATTTAGCATGTTTTCAAGGTTCCTCCTTGCCCTTGATGTACCCACCAGGTACATTATCATGTATCAGTTCTTCACTCCTTTTTATTGCTGAGTAATATTCCACTGTGTAGATATACCAGTTTTGTTGATCCGTTCATCAGTTGAGGGACATTTAGGTTATTTCCACTTTGGGGCCATTATCAATTATCTGCTATGAGCATTTGTGTACAAGTTTCTTGTAGACATGTGTTTCAGTTCTCTTCGTTATATACCAAGGAGTGGAATTGCTAAATCCTATGATAACTCTATGTTTAGCATTGTGAGGAACTACTAGACTGTTTTCCAAGGTAACTGAACTATTTTACATTCCTACCAGCAATGTATGAGGGATCCAATTTCTCTGCATCCTCATCAACATTTGTTACTGTCCATC